TTGCAAAATCAATTGGTCTTTTAGTGTTTTTCTACAAGAGGACTGGTCATTTGTTTCGATCTAGTTTTAATTGTGTAGAAAATTTTTAATTTTCTTTTAATAGTTATAAATATAACTTTAGAAGTTACATAATCTTACATATTAAAAACTTTTGCTCATTAGCTTATTGGCTAATAATAATACTAAATATAATATTGACAGAGTATCATTTTTTATAGAACCACTTTTATACTTATGTTGAAGTTTTTAAATCATGTGAACTATAAGTTGGGAATTTCTTGTTAAAAGTTACGGTTCTAACTCTATTTGTGTATTGTTGAAATGGCTTTTTCTTTACCTTTACAGATGAGCACAACTATGAGACATTGAGTGAAAATGAGATTATAGATGAGACTAATCCAAATAATGATAGTCAGTGCGAGAATTTCATTTTACTAGTTCTTTCATGTCATTGCTTTAAATTTTGAAGTGTACTTTTATAACTTAGAAGTTACTTATCATGTTATTGTATAATTTTGCACTTCTTTTCATGCTGATTTTCATATTTTTAACTAGTGAGTTAAAGTCATGTATTTAGTTTTAAAAGTAATTATTCTAGCCCTATTAGTGACAATTTGTTTTTCTCACTGTAGAAGATCAAAGATCACATAGACAATTGTGCAGACAATGAAGTTATTCTAGATCTTGATTGTCCAGTTGGCGTACACAAGTTGAAGCAAAAAAATGTGTATCATGAAGAGATGATTGTATTCGTCGACAGGGAGAATAATGATATATACTTCTTCTTGAGATGACCCATGGGATGCTTTTGTGAATAATGTCTGGTACATCAAAATCCTTTCTCCTGAAGATGTGCAAGAGTGTGAGTCCCTTGGTCGCAATATAGGGGAAAGAATGAATGCCAACAGTGCTGACGGTGGATGAGACTTTCTCTCTGGACTTCCATCTCTAGGATCACTTGAGTACTGATTTGTACAGCATATGGATGTAATCTTCCAATGATTTGTGTGTGAGCTCCAAAATTCCCCTAGGCATCTTAGATATTCCCTGCGTTATATAGAGGCCTTTAGCATTGTTCTGTTAAGTCTCCCATTGTATTATGTAGTGTTTCTTTTGAAACGTGATGGCAGTTAAGAAGCTAAAGTTTCTATTCCTGAGTTGAAGTCTTTGTTGAAGTATTGTAATTTTCGATCAAGCTTGTGTTACACAATTGTCACAGGTTGAATAGCTTCTCAGTATAACTTTTACAAACTTGAGGGCACCTGCTGACCTGCATAGAGATATTAGAGAATGTCAAAAGTGTGGTAATTTCAGTTAATTATTGTCTAAAAGATACACTCTTGGTTGGTTGCCTCTGCCATTCTTTCCCAAGCTAGTGTTTTGGTTAAAAATGACCTTATTTTCACATTATTGTTTTTTTAATTTGAACGGTAAAGTGCTACACCAACTCTCTTTTTTGCTATCAACTCAGATAGTTTTAGTATGTAAGTGCCACAGGCCCACACCAACTCTTTTTTATGAAACACAGAGCTTAGAACAAAACAAAAAACACCAATGTAATTGTGATATAAGAAAACAAAAGAAGGACATGGATGACAAGGAAAACAATAAGCGTGCTTTGAAAAAGGGAAACATCGCTCGCAAAAAAGGAAGGGTCACAACTTCTTTACACATTATGTAAAATACCACTCTCTTTTGTTTGAAATTGTAGTTTATGCAATATTATAAATATGTCTTATGTGTAATAATAAGCTTAACACAGACAATATTAAACTTCAAGTTTTTCACAAACTTTCAAAATGTGATCATTATTATATAGGCTATCAGGCTATGCGGGACTTGAACCCACATCATTGTGCAGATTTGCACATTGCCCTACCATTTGAGCTAATAGCCTTGAGAATAGAGCATTTTGAATGATAATATATTCCACTAGATGGACAACAAAAAAGGATAATAAACACCACAAAAACAAGAAACAACAATGTAATTAGCTATTAACAACAACTTATAAAAGAATGAACTTAACTTTTAACATAAAAACTTAACTTCAGATTAATTTCAATCTAATCCAGGTTGTAGAATTCATGGACTATATGGACTTGTTCAGAAATAAAAGTAGCTCCACATTTTAGAATCCATATCACACTATGTATATGAAACTTATACATGGCGATTAAATGACAAAAAAACAATTCAATGCATAAATAGAAAATTTCAGATTTTCAATTGCAGCAAGTAGAACGAAAAGCAATAAGATCCTTGACTTAGATACCTGGACCATAGGAGCTACTTAAGTTTTTTTTTGTGGGAAAAAAAAAGTTTATTGATAAAACAATTCGGAATTACAATCTGTTCGGAGAAAAGAAAGGATCTGTTGTGGTGCCTCAAGACACAAGAGCCCTCCTTCAGTACAATCTTTTTCCAGTTTAGCTAGTTCGTGTGCAACGCTGTTATTACCCCTTTTAATAGAGTTGTATCGTACCTCCTGTAAAGAACTAGTTAGCTCTTTTAACTCTTGGAGAAGGATTCCGAATCTGGAGGCATCTTGCGCAGGCTGTGATAAACTGGATGAGATCGCCACACAAAAATGTCAGTTCCAACAAACATATGATCTTTTGACTTTGGTGAATTTTACTACTTTTACCTAAACAAATATACACTCTAAGATTTTAAATTGCAGATCAAACTTTACTCCATGAAAAATAATATGAAACACTTGAAAGATGAAGAAGGATAAATAACATATTTTGAATTTGAAATACCAGAAAGCTACATGATAAAAAGTAGATTCAGAACTCATTGAGACATAATATCAAACACTTGCTAGATGCAAAGGGAAGAATGTCTTATTTCAATTTATAGACTAGAAAGTTACATTATAATTGAACCAGAAACTGATTATTTCCATTAAAACAATTTGAATGTGAATCAACTTGAAATTAAAATGAACTCTTCAATAAAAAAACCAGAAACATCGGGTACTAAAACTAACAAAGCTTATTTTAAAACTTACCGTCAATTGCTTGTTCCAGTTCGTGAATTGATTAAGATTTATGGAATTCAGCACGGATTGTTGATATGGAGCTTCTATCATCGTCGACCAATCGTCATTGTCTTCTATGGTGATATACATGTCGGACACAATTAGTGAGGAGAGCAATTGGGATTGGATATGGTTGAAGAATAGATGACAAATACGGAATGGAAACATAGAATATGGCAGGGGGTTTCATTTAATAAAAAGGATTGAAGTTGTTAATATATTTACCTAATGTCATTAATGAAAGACGGATAAGTTGAATTGTTCCAACGTACTAAATTAGCCCGGGTCTTATTAATTACGTAGTATTTGATAAGGTGAATTATAGCTTGACTAATGTCAATTATTTAAGTTTATTAGGTTCGAAATAAATTAAAAGCTCATAAATACATGATTTTGTTAATTATAATTATAATTATAATTATAGAAATATTCAAATCAGATCAGATAAAAAAGATTCAGATCAGATCAGAAAGATTCAGATCAGATCAGAAAAGATTAAAAGAATTCAGATTAGATTAGATCAGAAAAATTTAAATCAGATTAGATCAGAAAAATTCAGATCAGATCAGATTAGAACTTAAAAGATTTAATCAAAAACATTCAGATGAGATGAAGAGTACAGCTTAGCTTCTAACATAATATATGAGAGAAAATTAAAAATGGAACTCAATTTGAACATTAAAGAAATACTCATCTCTGGAACTAACTATGTCACTAATTTTGTTCAATGGATATACATAATCTTTAAGGAAAGAAAAATTAAGTAGACAATAAAAGTTTGTGTAATAACTACGTTGTTTTATTGACACGGGATTACCGGAATCTGTAACATAATGATGTTATATAACTACGTTGTTGTATGTGTAATAACTATGTTGATTTATTGACACTGGATTACATGAATCTGTAACATAAGTTATTACATACAAAGTTATTGATGCAGGGTACCGTTTTTTGGCAATTGGAGGCCTTCGTTTTTTTGGCAATTGGAGGCCTGAATTTTTTTACATTTTTATTTTTTTCTTTTATTTTTTCAAGGCTAAAGGGTCAGGCCCTCGAACTAACTTTAAAAGTGCAAATCACCACTTATATAGGAGGTTCTGTCTGGTCGTCATCATTTGGGCCGGTGCCCAGTAGAATTTTTTGATTAAATTTTTTGACCATCTTCTTAATTAAGTCTAGTTTACTCATACCAAATTTCAGATGCAAATTAAACTGGGAAAACAGTAAAATGATTTTCTGAAATGTACCGCACTATTTAACTGCGTAGTTATCTTCAAAAATTCATTTGACTGTCTTCCCGATTGAATTTGTAGCTGAAATTTGTTATGAGTAACTAGACTTAATGAACAAGATGTTCAAAACATTCCATCAAAAAATTCAATCGGGAACCGCCCCAAATGGTGACGGCCGGGGAACTGTAACTGGACGGGTCGTGTAACTGTAACTGGACGGGTCGATTAACTATAACTGGATGAGTCGGGTAACTGTAACTGTACGGGCAGATGTAGGTCACTAGACGGGTGAACGTTTGTCACTTGGCGGAATTTGGATTTTTCGTCACAATGAGTTTTTGGTCACTGTATTATTATTGGTCACTGTGACTATACTGGAGCACTAATGAGTGAGATTATATTAGTATAAGGGTATAATAGTCTCTTAATCCCCTTTTTAGTCCCATTTTTGGAAAGTGAAAAAAGGCTCTTTTTTGTCCATAGCTCTTTTTTAGTATTATTTTAGACATAACCACTTTTTGGTGTGAATCGGATTTACAGACAAATTAATTTGCACAGACATGGTGGGTACATGGTGGGTATAAGGGTGTGTACAAAGAGCTTTTTTGTACTATTAACTGGAATCATAAATTTTTTACTTAAAAGGGAAAATGGTAAATTTAGTGAAACATCCAAAAACAAAAGTTGAAAAAATTTTAAGAAGGAAGGAAGTAGTATCATTTTAGACAACTTTTTTGCACTACTAACGAGCAGTTCCAAATTGAATTGACTTCAATTCGGCTGACAGTATTATTCACGTTCGACCCAAACCGTGATTGTTTTTGTTTTTTCCACTTCGTTTGCTTCTGCTTTGAATGGTCTCCGTGTTTCTAGAACTCTGACCTTCCAGGAAACGCAATAACAGGTACTCAAAACTCAAAAGGATTCTATTATTTAATGTTCAGACTCCAGAGGTATATGTTATATATACTACGTATATGTGAAGGATTTTAAAATTAAAACAAGAAAAATCACAGGAAAGAGTTTAAGGTTTCAAGGAGGCTGGTCATTTGCGCAAGCTTAGAAAGCCGTACGTTATGGGGAAGCCTCATCGATTCCCAGGCGTGAGCGAAGAGGTGCAGAAGCTTGTGGATGCGGATATGGACTTTGTCGATGCCAGACGTCGTGCCCGCGAAGCATTTAAACATATTCAGCTCTCAGTCGATCATATTTTGTTTAAGGTATGGTATACTCCGTATTATTATGATCAAGCTTGAATGTTTCCTCCTATTCTTCATTTGATTTTGGAGCAGAATGTTTGACTTTATGTTTCTCAGTCAAAGATTGGATTTTTAAAGCTATACCCGATCGATTGTTTGTTTTAGGGTCTGTTTGCAACCCATTTAAAAAAGTGCTTTTAACTTTTTTTTTAAGAAAAAAGCACTTATCTTATCAAACACTACCAACTTTTACTTTCTCGGCTTCCGTGTAGAATCTACTTTTTACTTTTTCCTATTACACAAAAAGCACTTATTTTACCAAACACTACCAACTTTTACTACTAATCACTTTTTCCCCAAAAGTGCTTTTATTTGGTTGGAATCTGTCTAGGTGTCAGTGGATTTTGCCACTAGTTTCTGAATTATCTAACTGGATCTTTAAGTTATATATTTTTTGAACTTTTTGTACTACTTCAAAGAAAATACTCCCTAACATATAAAATAAGGCAAAAGTTTCTTTTTTTCCTTACAAATATTTAAATAAATAAAAAAACCTCATTCCCTTTTATTATCAACCGGTTTTAGTCAGTACAGTCAAGTAAGTTAGTGTTTAGTAGAAAAACTTGATGATAATACTGATAAGTACAAAAAATATTCTGCCATACAGACACTTAAGATAGTTGTGGTGCTACCACTGAGTAATTATGGGTTACTTGGGGGCCTGGGGCTGCAAGCTTAGCTTATTTTCGTTGGCCGTTTTAAACTATTGATCCCTACTAGTTCATCTAATCATTTATTAATTCAAATTTTCATGATGCTTTAGCTTATCAAATAATGTACTTACAAAGATAAAGAATGTATATTTTGCTTCAAGTTCGCTTCCAAATGAGGTGACGTACCGCTTTAGCGTGCTCAATTGGTTTTACTTTTTATTTCTGCAGACACCTTCTGATGGACTAAAGATGGAGGAGGTAAGCACCCTTCTCCCTTTGAAGGGACTGCTAAACCGTTTTGGACTTCATCGGTTTTACTTTTTCCTTATTTTTCACAGAACTATATCTAGAGTCCCCATTCTAGCTGTTTTTTGAATAATAATTTGTATTGTTTCTAATACACGTATACAAAGCTGATTATTATATGTTATCGTATGGAAGTCTTATGAGGTCAACTCTAGAGGATTAGAGGTTTTCTGCAAAAGTTGGCTCCCAGAGACAATTTCCCCCAAAGCAGTGATATGCTTTTGTCATGGTTATGGAGATACTTGCGCATTTTTCTTTGAAGGCATGTATTAATAAAACTTACATATTCAGTAACCATTTATTTACCTAATCATAGTATTTTTCTTTTCCCTAGTCTGTATGGACTCATGTCATATACTATCTATAGTCTTTTCTACTTTGTTTAAAAATGTTCAATCAATAAAACAAATTCTTGGCAATATCTACATTCCGGAAGAAGTAGAAGTGTTACTATATTTCTGTTTACATGAAATCTGTAAGATGATTGTTTTCATGCAATGTAGGGGTTGCAAGGAAGTTGGCGAGTGTTGGATATGGTGTGTTTGCCATGGACTATCCTGGATTTGGTCTTTCTGAAGGTCTACATGGCTACATACCAAGTTTTGACAACCTAGTTGATGATGTCATTGAGCATTACTCGAAAGTTAAAGGTATAAACAAAGTTCTAAACCTATTTCTTTGATTCAGAACTATCAGTCTTTTTGTAGTGGGAATGCAAACATATCATATGGATTAATACATTTCTATAACAGAGAACCCCAAACTACGTAGTCTGCCCAGCTTCCTTTATGGAGAATCAATGGGTGGAGCAGTAGCTCTGAAGGTGCACCTGAAGCAACCCGATTCATGGAACGGTGCTATTCTTTCTGCACCTATGTGCAAAGTACGCATCCATGGCCTTGATCGATGTTTTATGATAATAATTATTATTAGTAATTGGTGTGCTAATGATTACTTATGTCCAATAGATCGACAAGAACTTGGTTCCACCATGGTTGTTAAAACAAGTTATGATCGGTGTAGCAAAATTTCTACCAAAGCATAAGCTTGTCCCTCTAAATAATTTGGGTGATTTGGCATTTAGGGAAGCAAGTAAAAGGCAACAGGTATGTGTGCCTCCATTTCCTCCAAGAATCGACCAGTCTCTGATATAATAGAGTAATAGAATGTTTGCCATCCAGTTCTGGTTTATTCTCTGTATCAGTAAAAGAATCAGAATAAGTACGTTTTCACTTGTATAAATGTTATCAAACATTTTCCTAGTAGAAAATCCAGCATATCAAACAAATTTATGAAAATTACTCGTACTAAATTTGCCCAAAATTAGAAAAGACAGGTCTGGAACAAAATTACCCTATATGGCTTGCAGGATAGGCTCGAATTAGATGCCACATCTTATTGAAGAACATGGTAATCTGATTGTTATATATTTACAGTGAACCGTTAACTAGATGTTTAAAGTTACCTGTTTAAAATTGTAGGCAGCATATAACATCACTGCTTATAGGCAGAAACCACGTTTGAGGACACTCCTGGAATTTCTGAAGACTACCGCAGAGATTGAGGAATCACTAGAAAAGGTGTGTGTTAACTTCCTCTGTATTTTTCTGTAATAGCTTTCCCTACTTTCTTCAGTCCTTTAACTATTTTGGCAGCTAGCAATCTTACTATCGATAACCGTCATTGTTTTCGTATTTTTATACTTTTATGACACTATTGATCCGAACTATGGTAACTAATGTCACTTAGTCTGTCATAAATTTAAAAAGATGAGTATCATGCTTCACTTTCACCAAAACCATGTGTCATTATAGTTGGTCACTTGAGAACTACAACAGCAACATTACCTCGGTGGAGTAAGGGGGAGTTGAATGTACGCAGCCTTACCCCTTACTAAATCACAGTGGGACTGTTTCTGGATGACACAAAAATGAAAGTGTAAATTCAAAGATCAATATCAAGAGTGTCATTGCCACAATAGTTAGAGGACTAATAATGGGGGGGGGGGAAACTTCTCTTTAATTGGATGCTCAATTGAGTCATTGTACACATGCCAAATCAGACTAAAAGATAGAGTCAAATTCATGAAGTACATAATAAGAGAAATTATATATACATCTATGTGCAATCCTTTAACAATTGTGTGGCTTTTGGTGTAGAGCTATTTATTACTCAACTCTTTTTGGTTTCATGATTATTATTTCATATGCTGCTTATTATATTAAAAAATTGAGCTTCATTTTAGCTTAATCAACTGCATAACTATTTTACCAGAATCTTAGCTTTGTTGCTTGTAACCTTAGTCAATCTTTCGGAACGAACACGCTATTTTCACGTCTTGAGTGTTCACTTTTCGGTAAAGATAACAATATTGATGTGATTTGCAGGTGTCGTTACCGCTGTTAATCTTGCATGGAAAGAAAGATGTATTGACTGATCCATCCGTAAGTGAAGCACTGTATGAGAAGGCAAGCAGTGGTGACAAGACGTTCAACCTATACGAGGAATCATACCATTGCCTGCTTGAGGGTGAGCCAGATGATATGATCGACAAAGTCTTCAATGACATGATTTCTTGGCTTGATGACCGTAGCACTACTACAGGTTAACCATGCGCCTTTCTTGCTCACTTCTCCAGGAGTCAAAAGATAGAAATCAGGGAAAGAGGCAAAAAGCAATTTTTGTTGTTGTACAATATGTATTGTTTGATTGGAAGTTCAAATAAATATTCAAAGTTGGAAGTGCAACTTGGTAGTGCACTCGAGATAATGTCAATTTTATGTAAAATTTTTGCTGTAATAAGTTCATTTATGCAACATGTATTTGGTTATTTGGAGAGCAGTGTGTAAAATAAACAACCTTTTTAAGGTAAATTTATTAAGTGCAAAGTGCAACGTGTAAAAAAGTTATTTTCTTTTTAAAAAAATAGATGGACTTGTTGTAGGGAAGTGAGAGATGTGTCTTCATTCCATTAGTAAGCTCCCTTTAAATAGGAGGGATTAGGGTTTTACAAGACATGGGCCAATTAGCTCTACTCAATACATATAAACCCTAGATACACTTTCTATCTATAACGAATGCACATTAAATGAATTTCCTTCAACACTCCCTTTTGTGTTGAGTTGTAGATAGAATGATGCACACCAAGCTAGTTGTCGTGTAGGAACTTCGTCAAGTAACAAAAACCAAGGTAACAAAAACCATGTGGGAAAAAATAACCTTGATAGAAAGAAACCACTATGTGGATTGTGTTAGACTTTGTTCATTGAGTCCTTTTGTTTGATCCTTACTTTGATCAACGTGTACTGTTACCTCACTAAAAACATTACCAAGTAACAAAACCTAGTGGGAAAAATAAACCTTGGTTTAAGGAAAAGCGTATAACGTGTAGGTGTAAGACTCCCCCTAAAGTATACACCTCCCCCTTATATTTACATCAATCAGGAAAGTTCGGAAAGCTTTTGCATTCCTATGCTCTTTACATGGTTCTCAAAAGTGGCTTTGGGTAATGACTTGGTAAACAAGTCTGCTACGTTTTCTTCTGAGCTTATTTGATTCACTTGAATCTTGAGAAGAGCCTGTTGTTGCTAATTGTAGAAAAACTTTAGAGATATGTGTTTTGTGTTATCACCCTTGATATATCCCAACTTCATTTGTTCTATACAAGCTACATTATCTTCATAAATGCATGTAGGCTCTTCAGTGGTAGATTTTAAACCACTAGTTCCTCAAATATGTGTAATGATAGCTCTTAACCATATACACTCACGAACTGTTTTGTGTAATCTCAAAGTGGTTCGAGGAGGTAGCCAGAATGGTTTGTTTAGTTGATCTCCAAGATATTTCCGTGTTCCCAACAGTGAAAACATAACCAATTTGAGAGCGGCCTTTGTGAGGGTCAGAGAGACACCCAGCATCAGCAAAACCTACCAAGACATCATTTGGAGTTTTCGTATAAGGGGTGATCTTTTGTCTTTGGTATTTTCTTTTGTAACCACAATTTCATTCGTGGTTTCCTTTGTCTCTCAGTAGGGAAAGAACAGTCCCAAGTCACTAGTTCCCTTTAGGTATCGAAAAATATTTTTGATACCATTCCAGTGACGCTGCGTTGCCGCAGAGCTAAACCTAGCTAACAAGTTCACTAAGAATGTTATATATATCTGGTCGAGTGCACTGTGCTAAGTACAATAATGCGCCTATTGCACTTAGAGAGGGCATTTCAGCTCCGAGTGCTTCTTCATCGTCTTCCTTTGGACGAAATGGATCCCTTTTAGGATCTAAACTTCGACCAACCATGGGAGTGCTAGTAGGGTGCGCTTTATCCATATTAAATCGCCTGAGCATCTTTTGGATATACGCAGACTGGTGGATTAATACTCCACAAACTCGATGTTCTAGCTCAAGGCATAGACAGAATCGAGTTTTCCCAAGGTCTTTCATCTCAAATTCAGATTTTAGATGGCTGACGGTTTCTCTTATCTCATCATGAGTACCAATTATGTTCATATCATCAACATATACAGCCACAATTGCAAATCCGGAACTTGTTTTCTTAATGAATACGCAGGGGCATAGTTCATCGTTCTTATATCCCTTCCTAATCAAGTAGTCACTTAGGCGGGTATACCACATCCGCCCAGATTGTTTTAATCCGTAAAGTGAGAGCTTCAATTTGATTGCAAACGCACTCCGCGGTTTAGAGTCACTTGATTTGGGTAGTGAAAGCCCTTCGGGCACTTTCATATATATCTCTGAATCAAGATCCCCATAGAAATATGCAGTAACCACATCCATTAGTTGCATCTCCAGTCCTTCGGAAACTGCTAAACTAACTAGGTATCAGAACGTTATAACGTCCATTACGGGAGAGTAAGTCTCCTCATAGTCAATCCCAGGGCGTTGTGAGAAACCTTGCGCCACGAGGCGAGCCTTATACATTAAGACTTCATTCTTCTCATTTCGCTTTCTGACAAATACCCATTTACGTCCTACAGGCTTTACACTTGGTGGGGTTAGCACTATTGGATCAAATACTTGTCTTTTTGTCAGAGAATCTAGTTCTACCTGGATTGCTTCTTTCCATTTAGGTCAATCCGCTCTTTGTTGACATTCTGCAATAGAGTGTGGTTCGATATCATCGCGCTCTATTATTTCTTGAGCAACATTGAACGCAAATATGTCATCGATGTGTATGAAAGATCTTTCCATTAGCACATGCGCATTTTCACTATCCATTGAGATTTCTCTATTTTCTAGAATCATATCAAACATCGGAGCATCCTCCTGTAATGATTCATGGACATAACTGTAATCGGAGGTAATCTCATGGGAGGGATATTCTACATAGATGATCAATAGATCAGGTTGTGCCATACTCGTCCTTCTCTTCCTTGGGCGAGTATCAATCGAACCAAGTGGCCTTCCTCTCTTCCTTTGAGGAGCCACGACCTCAACCACACCTCCACTAAGTGTGGTTGCAGTGCCTCCTACTATGGCACTATTCCCTGTTTTGGGGATATCTAACCTTGCAGGCACATTTGCTGCTGGTATGTGTGATCTTGTCACTTTAGCGATGTCCGTAAATGAATTAGGCTTAGAGTCTGCTACATTTTGGAGATCGATTATTCTTTTAATTTGACCTTCACATTGTGAAGTGCGGGGATCAAAATGAGACAAGGTCGGAACGCACCAGGTCAATTCCTGTCGTTCCTTCGGAAAGTTCGTTATCCTATGTCCCCCTAATGACGGGAATGTTGTCTCATCAAAGTGACAATCCGCAAATCGTGCGGTAAAAAGATCGCCTGTCAAAGGTTCTAAATAGCGGATGATGGTTGGAGATTCGTATCCAGCGTATATACCTAATCGCCTTTGAGGACCATTTTTAGTACGCTGTGGGGGCGCAATCGGCACATGTTGTTGTTGTTGTTGTTTTTATTATTATTATTATTATTATTATTATTATTATTATTATTATTATTATTATTATTATTATTATTATTATTATTATTATTATTATTATTATTATTATTATTATTATTTATTATTATTATTATTATTGCTATTATTATTATTTCATTTTGCTTACATTTTTGTTACAATATGTTTACTAAAATGTAAAATTATGACTTATTAGCAATATTTAGCATCAAAAGCGAGCTTTCGTGAAAAAATATTTTCATATTATTATGAAATAGTTAAGTTTATTTGACTCATTATGAATAAAATGATTAATAATATGGGGTCATAGTGTCATTATCTATTAATATTAATGTTGCATATACTATCATATAACTTTTCGTTTTACTTTTGCTAACAAATATTTTTTTTTTAAAAAAAGTATGATACATTTATGTTGATCGTCATCAAAAGGTAACATTAATGACAAAATAAAATTGTCATTATTTTACAAAACAATTAGTGACGAAATATGATTTTTTCATAATAATTAAAAATTACGTGACACAAATTATCGTTATTAAATGTTTCTAAAATGTCATCAAAAGAATTCTCTCCATATTTTTGGCGTCAAAATTTGGCGCTCAAAATTTAAGTGACAAATTTGATTTTTTGTCATAGTACACATCAATTAGTGACGAAATATAAGACTTAAAATGACGGATGATAATATTGTCATAACATAACCTTTTATGGTGACGAATTTGAGTTTTGTAACTATTAATGCACATAATATGACAACTTTTTGTGTGTCACATATTTTTTTGTCATAAAAAGTGTGATTTCTTGTAGTGACATATACTGCAGAACCAAATATGCGTAGATGTGAAATGTCAGGCTCATATCCAGTGACCAATTGGTACGCAGAAAATGATTGGTTTGCAATGGGTCTAAAGCGAATAAGTATCGTTGCATGTAATATTGCATATCCCCACGCAGATATGGGCAAGTTGGTGCACATAATTAATCAATGCCCTAGCTATCATTTGTAGTCTTTTGATTGTAGCTTCTGCGAGACCATTTTGTGTATGTACATGGGGAACAGGATGCTCTACATCGATCCCGATGGACATGCAATATTCATCAAAAGTCTTTGATGCAAACTTTCCAGCATTATCAAGTCTTATTGACTTAATAGGATTATCGGGGTGGTGAGCCCTTAAACGGATTGTCTGTGCTAGGAGCTTTGCGAATGCAGCGTTCCTTGTGGACAGTAAAGCAACGTGTGACCAACGGGTTGATGCATCCACCAAAACCATAAAGTATCTAAATGGTCCGCATTCTGGATGGATAGGTCCACATATATCTCCTTGTATTCTTTGTAAGAATGAGATGTTTTCTTTTGTATCTTTAGCATAGGATGGTCTCGACTCTGTTTTCGCTAAAGAACCGGCTTTACAAAATGCAATTTGTGATTTGGACATTGTTAAAGATGCATGAGCTAATTCTTCTTGTACTTCAGAAGATGCTTTTTCGTTTTGAATTACCGTAAGGCTAACACCTTTCAATGTGTTTGACTTTTTATTATTTTTATTCCTTCCTCGAAATAAAGGATGTCCATGTGAATTTTTAAATATACGAATTATCATGTCACGACCAGGGTGTCCAAGACGATCATGCCAAAGCCTGTATGAGTCTGTGTCCCAAATTTCATCGTTGGTGACAACATAAGATTCAAAGATCTAAATAGTGGTGACATAAAGTCCACTAGACTGACTCATTAATTTCTCTAGTATGTGCTTTCTTTCTTCCGCATTCATTAGAGGTAATGTAAAGATACTCTACACCATTCTCACAGTGAGTTTCCACATGAAACCCATTATCACGAATATCTTTAAAACTTAATAAGGTTCGGGTAGTTCTAGATGCATATAGAGCGTCTGTGATGATGAATCTTGTGCCATTGGGCAGCATGAAATGGGCAGTACCTCGTCCTCTTATTACGTCTGAAGATCCAATCATTGTAGTCACAGAAGAATTATAGGCTATGAATTTAACAAACAATTGCCTATTTCGTAAGATAGTGTGTGGTCCCACTATCTACTAAACACTTAAGTTCTCCTCGAGTCATTCATGTATAATGAGGACATAGAATATAAATCTGAACCCAAAATTTAAATATTGTTTGGATTTTGAATCCAATTATTAAGGGAAAAAACCATAATCATGTAGTGTCCAGAATAAAAGAAATATAAAACCAAACACAAATAGTAAAAGTGTTCAATAGTCCATGAGCAGATAAAGAAATTAAATTCAATAAGTCAAAGTCGGGTGCATCGACTGACTGAACAGTGTCCTTGCCGCCAAAATCAGCAACTGTGAGGTTAACGTCAACCTCATTGTCTTCGTCGGTTAAAAAGTGAGATTCTTGCTCGTTAGCCTCCCAATACTTTTTGTATGCAGGTGGCCTTTATCATGTCTCGGTGACTTAATCTGAATGTATGTGCATGTTATGAGTTCCTAAACCATCAATTGGGGAATTATCAGTTAGCATGTTGAGTGTGGATCAATATATGGGATTACTTAGGTTTTCTATAACTATTTTTCTACCATAAATAGATAACTTGATGTTAGCTGTTAGAGTGATGTGAACTCTTACAACAATTATTTTTCTATAATAATTGTTCTAATGCGCACCCACACACACACATAGCTTATTTACCTTATTTGCAACGTTTGGGTTGAAGAAGGCCTCCTAAATATGATTTTATTCGTTTTGATTAGATCAATAAAAAAAATTATGTATGCATTGAAATTAATCAAACAATAAGAAGATAAAGTGAGAATTAGGGTTACATATAACATGATGATTACAGTTCAAGCTTTCTTGTTTGATAGAATTTGCATATATGTGAAAACAAAGACATTGTGAAGATGAAATACTCACCGGGTTTAAATTCTCACAAATTTGTGCAGATGCAGTTTGACGGCTCTTGCAAATTGTGAAGTGACAGCTCCTTTTGTGCGTACGATAATTAAAGGCGGCTGCAGTGATTTATGGAGGATTTGTTTTCTATATATCCGATTGTTTTTTAATAATTGTATCAATTGTTTAATCTATGTGGCGCCACATCATATTCCATTAGGGACAGCTTAACAGTGTTCAAATTTTTAGTTCCTGTATCGATAGATTATGATCTATCGGATCCCTTATTGATTGAAATTATCTTTCGGTTCCTAAATCGATAGTAAGATCATCTTTCGGGTCTTGGACCGATTATTTTCCGTAACCCTAATTCTCACTTTATATTCTTATTGTTTGATTAATAAACCAAAAATTAATAAAAAGAAAACCAATTAAGTTATGTATGCTCATTTGTTCAGAGAATTGATAAAAAGAAAACCAAACATTAGATTCACATAAGAATTGATTATAAATACGAGAGCACATACAATCATACTCAATTTCGTGTTTCTAATACTCATAGTGGAAGCTTGATGCTCACTGAAAATGTCTTGATGCTCAACTAAAAATTCTTATGATTTTCATTTCAATTCTCATTTTGTAAATTACGTTTGTTCAATCGGTACACATGTTATGCTCGTTTTTAAAATGTCATAACAATGCATATTTTAAAATCATCATATTACATTAGATTCAACATATTGAAATTCATAGGAATTGATTATAGATATAATTTAATGAGTTTTTATAAAAGAAAAAATAAGAAAAAGAAAGTCGATCATGAATTACACTATTTGAAGTTGATATCACAATACTTCATTATTCGACTCTTAATACTCAGTAGAATATGTCAGATGCTCATTAAAAGTATATTAATGTGTATCTAACGAAAATCTCGATTTTCACTGAAATTCCGAAAGTGCCACCGTTTTTTAGTTGTGATATCAGTTTTCTTGTAATAACATGGTTCTCGTTATTAGATGATTTATACTCGTTAAAATTGGTATTGCTCATTAACAGTACACTAATGGTCATTTAGCAGAAACGCGATTTTCACATTAATTACAAAAATACTACCGAATTATTTTGTTATTTTTCCATTGGGCCTGTTACTAGGCCGGCTATACGGTGCTCACCGTATAGCCGGTTTGTATAGTATACGAATCCCCAAAAGAAGGTGTTGGGGGAATAAGCCTAATTATTATTATTATTATTATTATTATTATTATTATTATTATTATTATTATTATTATTATTATTATTATTATTATGAAACCGCTATTGTTGTTGTTGTTGTTGTTATACGGAGTGATTATAATTACAATTATAATTATAATTATAATTATAATTTAAAATGTAATTACAAATATAATTATAGCTATGATTACAATTAGTATAATAGGTATAATTATTATAATTTTAATTTGGTAATAATTATGATTATAATTATAATTATAATATTTTTTTTATAATTATAGTTATAATATAATTATAAATATAATAATTATATTTATAATTATAATTATACAAATATTCAAATCACATCAGATAAAAAAATATTCAGATCAAATCAGAAAGATTCAAATCAAATAATCTAACTAGATCAGATAGATTTAGATGAGATAAGATCAGTTAGATCATATCAAATCAGAAAAATTCAACTCAAATCAGATCACAAAATTTTAGATCAGATTAGATCGGAACTTAAAAAATTTATATCAAAACATTCATATCATGTGAAGAGAACAACTTCTAACAGAATATATGGGAGAACTTTGAAAATTGAACTCAATTTGAACATTAAAGATATACTCATCTCTAAAACTATGGAGCCAGATAAATTTTGTTCAATGGATTTACATAATCTTTAAGGAAAGAAAAACTAAGTAGACAATAAAAGTTGTGTGCGTAATAACTACATTATTTTATTGACACGGGATTACAGGAATTTGTAGCATAATGATGTTCTATAACTTATTACACACAAAGTTATTGATGCATGGTAGCGTTTTTTACATTTTTATTTTTTACTTTTATTTTTTCAGGAGTATTTTTTTTATAAATAAAAGATATTCTTATTTAGTTTCAAAATTACAATGAGGCCTTCTACTAGTATGTCAAGTCAACGATTCATTTTACCCAAGATAATTACTTCCTTCATATTCTTTTGTATGCTACACTTTCCATTTTGGGGTGTGTTTTTATTTTCTAAACTTTCCATTTTTGGAAAGTTTTCCTATTAAAACACTCAATTACCCTTATAATTTATATTTTTTTAAAAAATATATTTTATATATTTTATACATTTTCATCTTCGTTTTCATACTTTTTCACCTTCTCTATACTTTACTAGAGTATTCGTTGTCGCTACTATTTTCCCCTTAAATGTTGTGTCAAACGGTTTGTTATGATATTCCAGGAAGCTAAGACTTTACTAGAATTGACTATCGTTCCAGGTTTGTTTGTGTGTGCCATTGCTATTAAAGAATGCGATAAACATATCATCAAAACGAGATTAAAATTTTTGAATTGTGCTCATTGTATATAGAAGCGTTCCATGGGATGCTTCGTGTAATCATTACACCATTTTATTGATACAGCAGGAATCATTGAAGACGATTATACCGTAAAAAATATGCTCCAGAAATCGGTTCAAAGAATGAAAGAAATCAAAATTGGAGTACTATTTATATTGAAAGATCAAATTTTGGCTAATTATTTAATTGGGGCGGAAATACGTATGCACAGTCGTGTGCGCGACCCGCGCACACTGTGCGCATGTTCCGTGTCTCTGTTGTGCTCATGTCGTGCGCTGCAATGTGTTCAAACACCTACAGCTGGAAAAACTCACGCAAGGGGGACGCACGTCGTGCAAGCCCCCATGCCACCAGACCTGCATCCCTACACTTTCACCAGTACTCATGCACGCTATGTGCACGTCATATACAGCTCGCAGCTCGAGGCCAAGCATCAAAATAACTTATTTAAACCATTTATGAGCCATCCTTTTTTTTAAAATCCGGAAGGCAAACCACCAAAAAAATATTAATCAAGTAGAAAAGAGAGGGGGACTAGGACATGTTTGTCAGCTAAGAGAGACCTTGGAATGAAATTTGGAAGACAAATGACCTGAAATCCGTCATCCATTAAAACGTTAGAGATGTAGTGAGCTCGCCAATTTGCATCCCTGAAAACGTGGCTGAAGACAATCTGCTTCTCAATCATCAGAAATTGCACTAAATAGGAGTAAAAACGTTTTAAAATTCCAAAATAGGAGTATCATGTTTTTTATTCCCTGAATAAGAGTAATCTGCCAAGTTTAGAAGAAATGTCATGTTTAAAAGCTTTGTAATGTCAAACTTGGCAGAAATTTACTCCTATTCAGGGAATAAAAAACATGATACTCCTATTTTGGAATTTCAAAACGTTTTTACTCATATTTAGGGAATTATCTCCTCGCCATTTACCATGAAATCTTCGATAGAGAGATTATCTCAAGGACTTCAATCGAATCTGTCTCTACCTCGAATCCATGGAATCTTTGCTCAATCGCCCAAGTAACTGATAGTCGAAGTGCTTCCATCTCCGCCTCCAAACTGAATCGAGCAGAAATAGGAAAGTGTAGTGCGAAGAATCCCTCATCAACGCTCCAGCTGTAGCACCATCAACGGAATAGGAAGCGTCCACATTAAGTTTATACTCCAGTAAAGCTAGGTAACTTCCATTTCACCGTTTTAATCTTTGGCTTGAACGATCTTGGGATTAAATTTTCTTTCAAGGTATCACATTCTTCTCCCCCTTAAAAATGTCTCATCTCCAAAGCTCAAACCAAACAAAAGTAGAATAACATCAGTAAGGAATTACCTTGCTCAAAAGAAACGCAAATTTAGAATACTAGGACCATACCTAAATCAACCTATTATGTTCTTATAGACTACTCAACGAGATCCTAAGGCAATGTATACCTAGGAGTCAACCAAAACAAAAATTACACAAAATTGTTAAAATATTAAAATTAATCGAAATAAATTAATATAAATCAAGCATCGCACAATCCTAAAACGTTACTTAAGTTCAAAATAAATTAAAACAATGTAATGGGTACGGGATTTATGTACCTCAGGAGCGTCCGAGCGTGCATTGTAATATATTTGCATTCAACTTCACCAACACTCATTTGAGGCCATTACGCACAATGGCCTGGTTACTCCTCATATTTTTCCAAGATAGATATCATTTTCGTACTTTTTTGGTCTAAATTTTTATCTAACTGTCACTAATAATTTAACCTAAAAACTCTTCCCAGTCACTGATGTGAAGAAACAGATAAATGAAGTCAAATTATGATTACATATTAAGGTGATCTTATAGTAAACATGAATAAATACACTACAAAAACGTATCCCGTAGCACGGTATCGGCACGTATTTAGCACGGATCTCTAGTTGTTAAGAATTTGGTAGGGACTATCCATGTCAAAATGTAGTTATTATGAATTTTATTTCAGATTTAACATAAATCAAAGGTTTAGTTGTGTAATAATCAAAATAAGTAATATTAAAGTTCCATTTGTCTTTGATTAGGTTGAAGTTACTGTAGAGTAACTCCAATTAACCATATTTATTTTTCTTATTACACAATTAAACGCGGGAAATCAATCTTTACATTTTTTGTAAAGATGATACAAAAAACCGAAAATAGTCAATAAACCGAAAATGATACTAAGAGCATCTCTAATAGTTCTTTTTGAGGACTTTGCTTGCAATTTTGAAGCTAATACTCCCTCCGTCCCAAAATTATCTTCATTCTTTCCTTTTTGGTCCGTCCCAAATTTATCTCCCCTTTCCCTTTTTGGTAAAGGATTTGTGGTTCACAACCACTCTTACACATTTCTCTCTCCTCTGCACAACTCTCTAACACACATTTCTCACTTTCTTAATCCCCGTGCCCAGTCAAAACCGAAGTTAATTCTGGGACGGAGGGAGTAGCTTACTATTGGAGCATTTTGTTTCATTTTGCTTGAGAAAGCTAATTAGTCAAAATGAGCTAATAGCTTGAACAAAGAGAATTACTAAATGATGGAGTATAAGGCCCAGGAACCCCCGGTCCATAGACTCCTACTTTCCCCACGAAGGCCCATTGAGCCCAAAGAACATATGAGGCCCAAATACAGCGGCCCAAGTCTCAAAGAAGCCCAAAGTACACACTGGGGTGCCTTCGGCCTCCTTGGCCGAAGGCTCCTAAACTCACAGGATGGTCTTTTTTGGGCATACGAAGCTACTGGGAGAAAACGGCAGAAAACAGGAGCCTTCGGTACTGTTAAGCCCTCGGCATAAGAGAAGCCTTCGGCTACACAGAGCCCTCCGCTGTGCGAAGCCCTCGGCTGCGCGAAACCCTCGGCTGCATGAAGAGCCTTCGGCTAAACAGACTCAATCATCGAAGATTCCCTTTGGAGACAGCCAACAACCGCATTTAATGCGACGTCACATCCACCCACCGCATTCAATGCGGTGAACATGCCACTGCCGGTGCCACCCCGATTGATGTGACCCCTCGGCCGTTGGATTACTGACACGTGTACTCTCATCGCATTTATTGCTGCTATAAATAGCAGCCCATTTCTCCTTGTAAACGATCCCCGATCCACACCAGAACATCTCAAGTTCATTTAATAAATCGACTCTCTCTCCTCCTATTTTGCTCTGACTTCTCTCTAGTTATTCCCGCAATAACCCCCCGGATAGGATACCCCCGGGTAGACTATCCATCACTAAACATAACACTAGTAAAAATAAATGAAGAGGATGATATTATAGCTCACCACCGGAGTACATTTTAATTTTGTTACAAATGCTTATGACGCTAGTGAAGCAATGAGGGTAATTAGCTAATCGCCGGAGATGCTCTAAGTAAGCTCTTAACTTACGTGTTCAAAGTTACATATATGCTTTTAAAACTATGCAGAAAAGTATCATTTAATGAATTTACTTACGGTTGAATGTAACGTTTTATTGAATTTGAATGAGAAAGGAGTGAAATCTTAATGCCTTTTCTATTGAAGTTTAGAAATTTAACCGCAAAAGCAGACACAAATATGGGGTGATGTCGTGCTGATATAGGCATATAGCATCATCTCAAGAAACTTTAACGGCATGAAGGAATTAAAGTCCCACACCGGATATTTCCGAAAGAATTAAACATTATATTAAGATATGAGTTACTCCTCTTATTAGGTTGACCTTTTTGGAGGAAATCACGGCTAAGTAGCACGGAAACGGGAAACGCGAGAAACGTTATTTCTAAAAAATATAGGACACGAAACGTGGGGGAAATGCGTAAATATTATAAATATAAGGGTATATTTATAAATATTTTTAATATATGTACACTAGTTTTTCCATATGCACATGTTTTTTTAATATAATTTGTTTTGTAACCAAATAATAAAATCACTCTACATGTTCGAATTTAGATATTATTTCATATTAGTACATAATTAAACATAAAATGTACGGAGTAATACATTTCTAGCAATACATTGCGTTACGAAATGTAACAAGTGTTGCCGCTAAGAAATACCACAAAAATTCACTATAAAAAATTATTTTCCACCACAGAATCTTTTGAAAAAGAAAAAACATTGGAATCCGAGGTTTCCGAAACGTAGTGAAACGGGTTTCCAAATTTTTCTTAATTACGGAAACGGCCCCGAAACGGGAATTTGATGTTTCCGAGTTTCCGAAACGCTTCCGAGTTTCCGAAATGTGGAAACGTGAGCCATGGAGAGTTACCGTGCTTCCTAGAATCCCGAATCTTAACATGGTATCTGAGCAAAATCTATTCATGGTGTGGGGCTTTGGGCCCCCTTATGAAAAATGATGTCACGATTATTTAAAAAAACAATGACGAACCAATAAAAAAATGAATGACGGCATGATCCAGACACAGTATCTGGTCGTGATGAGGGGTGTTAAAGTCCCACACCGAATATCTCTGAAATAATTAAACACTGTATTAAGATATGAGTTATTCCACCTATCAGGTTGACCTTTAAGGATGGAACCTCATATCTTAACAACTAGAATTTCTTGGAATTGTAAGTACACAAATGTGGATAGTACTAATAAGAATTATTTAATTTAGACTTCTTTTTATTGTCAGACTAGTTAACGAAAAAAACAGATTTATACATGCATGTATGCTGTTATTCTTATCATACACATATCATGTTTGACTATATAATTGAACGGTTTAGATTTTAATGTTCATTAACAACAAAAAATTGTTAACTTCTACTGTTATGTCAAGTCAAAGATTCATTTTACCCAAGATAATTACTCCCTTTATATTTTTTTGTATGCTACACTTTCCCTTTTGGGGTGTGTTTTTATTTTCTAGGCTTTCCATTTGGAGTTTTTTTTTTCAAATTAATACCGATTAATTAAATAATTACCGAAATAATGCTGGGTTATAATTATTTACTGATCTACTGTTGGGCTTAACCGGGTTGGGGAAAGTCGCCAAACGGTTTGACGACTTATAAGTCGCCAAACCGTTTGGCGACTTATCCCCTGCACCTCTTACAAAATCAATAACCCTTAAATAGCCAGATTCCCACCATTTCAAAACATGCAAAACCTGCTCACAAAACATACAAATCACCAGTAACATACCAGTTACAAATAATTCGGAAAAAACTCTTCCATTTGTAGTAAGTTTTCTATTTAAAATACTCAATTACCCTTTTTTTTTACTTTTTCATCTTCGTTTTCATTTTTTTCCACTTTCTCTCATACTTTACTACACTATTTGCTACCACTACTCAATTACCCTTATTTTGTTTTTACTTTCTCATCTTCGTTTTCATATTTTTCCATATTCTCTCATACTTTACTAGACTATTTGCTACCATTACTATTTTTCTCTTAAATGTTGTACCCAAACTTATGGTAACAAACAATAGAATACGGTGCTAAAAGTATTATTTATGTACATTTTCTCTCTGAAAATTAAAACTTGTCTAATTTAACCGTCAATATTAAGTTGACATAAAAAGTATTGTTAATCACTCATGTGAAGCAAATATAAATTAACCCAAATATTACGAAAAATTTGTGGTGATAATGTGGTAAGCATTAATAAATACACAAACATATCTGGTAGCACGGAATTGGCACAAAATTAGCACCGATCTTATTGATTATTCAATAAGGTGAAATTGGAGAGAAAATTTAGATTTTAATATTTACAAATTAAAAAACCGTTGTGAAAAAGCTGATCAAAGATAATCTGAATTGAATTATGGCTTGACTAGTGTCAAAATCAAACATGCCTTCATTTATTTAGGCTTGACCGAAAATATATAATTATTGATAATTTCAACAACATCATTTATTGGTGTCAAAATAGCTTTTTTTGTTAAACATGACAAACCAGCCATATTCTTAAAAAATGACAGATAAGTGCTAGTTGCAATAATAATTGAAACATAGAACCACCAGAAGTGCTAATAAAATAAAATTTCATCCCAAAATTTTGATTATTTATAGTCATCGGTGATTCGACAGAATGCTTGTTTTTTGCCACTATTTTAACTATTCTATGCATTAGAGTCCCAATTTTTGTCCCAAAATATGTAGGAATTTTGTTACTTTATATAATATAAGGATAAGGATAAACTTATAACCTTCAATATCATTATAATTATAATTATAATTATAGGTATTGTTGTTGTTGTTGTTGTTTTTATTATTGTTATTGTTGTTACTATTATTATTATTATTATTACTATTATTATTATTACTACTACTACTATTATTATATGCATTTGTATTACTGTAACAGTATGGTAAGTACGTACTTCCGATTTTCATAAATTATCTTTCCATTATGCGATCAATTTTATTTGAGCGGCACTTTTAACAAAGTGAGCAGGGTAAGTACTTATAGATTTATGACAAACAAATTTGATAAACTTGATAATTAAACATTTTATGCTCAACTTGTGGTTCATGATAATTTTATTTGGTAGTAATATACTCCTTATTTTACATTTTATAATTCAAAACTTGACTATTTACATATTTACTATTTTTGGGCGAGAATTTTCCCTCCAGTAGTTGTAGCAATTTTGCTATTTCATATTATATAAAGACATTCAACATTGGTGTCATACGAAAGATAATAAAAAAGTTATGAGTTTTGTTACATATTTTGTAACAATCGGAGTACAAATAAAAAAAAAATATAGCACTCGATTCATCGATGTTTTTAATGTGTTGTTTTTTTAATATATATTCAATATTGGTGTCATATGAAAGATAATAAAAAAATGAATTTTGGTATGTTTTTTTATAACAATCGGAGTACAAATAAAAAAGTCACAACACTTTAAAAATATATGAGATTATATTTCTCTTCTTTTTTTTGTAAAATTTTCTCTTTGTTACAGAGATTTTTGGAAGCCTGCCGTTGTCATTGTTTTTGTTAATGCTTAGTTAATACATTACCAAATTTGTTTTTGTCATTAATTCACCATTATGTCTTCATTTTGGGTGGGATTTTCCCCTCCAATTGTGGTGCTAACACTGCTACATTATATTATATAAAGATATGATAAATTTAAAAATATAACTCAAAGCTTCTTGAAGTGCAGCACAGCGTAGGTGAAGAAGAGGTGAAGAAGGTATATAGTGGTATTAGTTCATGATTTTGTTTTACTCCGTATTGTATAGGAGAGAAATTTCATGATTAAGAGCCCATTTGGTAACACTAAATTTGGCTGTATTGGCTGATTCTGCTGAAATTTATGAAGTTCTAACTGAATTGGTTGTATTGGCTGATTCTGCTGATTCAAGAAAAAAATTATATTTAAAATATTTGTTATTAATGAATAAAATAAAAAATTATATGAAAAAATAGCTAAAATGATCTTCTACAGTAACTTCAGCCAATACAGCCAGAAAAGTAACTCCAACCTTACTTTTTCTGCTTATTACACAATTCAGCGCAAGAAATCAAAAGTTACGCGTTTGGTGAAAAAGCTGGTTGATAAGCCGAAAAAAAGGGATCACCAAACGGGCTCTAAGTTGTCGGCATGTTTTTTCTTTTGTTGCCACAGTACGTTCTATCGTCAAAATTAGGGCTATGACGTAAAAATTTAAATTGATATATTTTATATAAGCAATGTAAAGTAGTTTACTATATCCTCCCCCACGTAAAATACTTTACATCAAATGTTTTAAAAAGAGTGTCCTACAATTTACATGGTATAAAATGTTTTAAAAAAAGTGTCCTACAATTTACATCAAATAATAAAAACAAACAGTGCAATCTGTTTACACCCCCTCATTTTACACGCAAAGTCTTTACTTTACATCATACCAAACGGGCCATAAGTGCAAAGTGTAAAAAGTTATATTCTTTTTTTAAAAAAAAATGGACGCATAATTTATCTCTAAATTTTCGATAGGACTAAAAATTGTAGTCAATATCACTTTCTTACGCATTATCAAAAAAAAATGCACCGGTAATTTTAGGTAAAAGAAGATGAGAAGCAAAAAATGTTGTTCGGAAAATTCCAATTTTATAAACAGTAAATGTTTGGAATAAAAAAAATTGTTTTCAAGCGATATAAAAATGTGTTTTTGGACACATTTTCTTTTCTTTTTTATTTGGAAAATTTTTGTACACATTTTCAAAATCTTTCGAACCAACAATTTTTACATATAATGTTAGGCCGCGAGCAAACAAATGTATGTTGAAAAAAACCATTTTTATAGACAATAAATATTTTCACACAAAAAACTGAGGCATTGCCAAAAATTTGTACTACGTATAAGTTTTGTAGGTATCTTCAAAAATCATATTACTTGGCACTAAATGCCTGGCAGTGATAGTGACAAACATTTATTGTGTAAAATATTATATTTTCAACCCATATTTTTATCTCTTACATAATTAACTTTTCATTTTAAAAAATGAGTGTAAATAAGTTTGAAAATGTATATAAATTATACAAAAATATGTAAATACCTATCACAAAAAAAAACATTTTTTCTAGTGCCGAAAATTGTATAATTTTTCACAAATTTCCAAATTGCTATACTGGCGATTTTTCTATAAAATTTTGTGGCAGATTAAAAAAGAGAATCGAAAAAAACAGTATTTATAAACAATAAACATCTATAGATAACTATGATTAAATGACCACCTAGAAAATCATAAAGTCAAACTAGGACTTTAATTGTGAGATGAATGGAATATTTAGGATAATTTTAATTAGATTAAGGTTTAAATTTTTGGTTTGATCTGATCTAGTCTGATCTAGTATGGTCAGATATGATCGGTAAATTATACGGAGTATCATACAACCCAGAGTATCATATATATGCATTGTACAATTGGTTTTGTTTTTTTGTAATATTTTGCAAAGTCAAGGGTGAAGCACCGTCTTCCTCAGAACTCTCGGTCTTCAATTCTTGTCTGCCCCTCGTCTCGTTCTTCAATCCGAAATTGAAATAAATACGAAACTCACGAAATCTTTAACACACGCGGCTCTGTAGTCGAAGTTAAGGTCGCCCTCCTCATTCTTCTATAATTAATGACCATTAAGTAATTCAAGTTGGGAGAAAGTGTTAGAGTTTTGTCACTCTCACAAACTCATGATCTGCTCAACATGTTATCTTTGTTATGGATGCAGGATGCTCAATTTTTGTACTTTCTCTATTCTTAAATAAGTGCAACGGTCAACATTTCACATTTGTCGAAGCACAACTTTGACCATTAATATATATTCCTCTACAATAACTTCAGCCAATGCATCCTGAAAAGTAACTTCAACCTTACTTTTTCTTATTATTACACAATTCAGCGTGCGAATTCAAAAGTTATGTATTTGGTGAAAAAGTTGGCTGATAAGCCGAAAAACAAGTTCACCAAACGGACTCATAAGTCTGATAAGCCGAAAAACAAGTTCACCAAACGGGCTCATAAAACTTTTCATACAAAGTTTAGGGTATATATATTACATGTGCAAGTTTGGGGTGCTTATATCACCCCTTCAAAGTTTGGATATTTAAATTATTTTTCCTTTTTTTTCCCTCAAAATTGGAACAATTAGTTGAAACATCCTTACATTGGACTTTTTATTCGTGATTGGACCAAAATGCCCTCATCGCTGCCCTTGGACTGCCGTCGGAAAATTTTCCTCAATTTTTTTTGGCGGCCTGCCAGTATTTCCGCCCCTGTCAGAGTTCGCCCCCGATGCCGCTGGTGGAGCTGCCACCACCACCGGACCGTCCCTGCTACCAGCAGACTGCTTTTGTTGTGCAAGAGAACTAGGGGCAATTAATTAAGTTAATTAATTCATTCATTTAGGGGTAAAAATGAATTAATTCATTAAGGAGTAAAAATGAATTAATTATGTTTTTGTCCTAGCAATAGAAATTTTCTCTTAATTTTACCGACACAATGTATAGGAAATATTAGTAATCATTTCATAGTATATACGACGATAGTCTTATCCAAAACTAATTTATACTCAAAAAGTAGCAAGATTGATATAACTTTTTTAGGCAAAGTTGTCGTCTGTTTTAATGACATATTACTAAATTACAAGTGTGCTATAAAAATTAATCCTACATTACTGCCTATACTATGAGACTTTGATGAATTGGAAATTGTAGAAGAAACTATTTGACCTTTTCCCATTTTTATTTAAAAAATTATGAATTACGCACTATTACACTCCATAATATGGAGTAGAATGTTATTTCAAACATGTTATAATTATACTCTAAATATATCTCATGCATCGCACGGGTACTTTGTCTAGTTAAATTTATTCATAAAGGAGGTTATGTGCATGATTAATTAAAACACAAAAGGGTTTGACGCATTTTTTAAATAATCGGCTTGACACAGGTTAATGCGTCTAATTTAGAAATTACAGGGGGTTGGTGCGTTAAACCAGATACTCTTAACGAGCAGTTCAAATAGAATAGACTTCAATTCGGCTGACAGTATTATTCACGTTCCAGGAAACGGAATAGCAGTACTAAAAAGGATTCGATTATTTAATGTTCAGACTCCGGAGGTATATGTATATATGACGGGTTAAAATTAAAACAAGAAAAATCACACGAAAGAATTTAAGATTTCAAGGAGGCTGGTGATTTGCGCAAGCAGGAGTTAGAGCTTAGAAAGCCGTACGTTATGGGGAAGCCTCATCGATTCCCAGGCGTGAGCGAAGAGTTGCAGAAGCTTGTGGATGCGGATATGGACTTCGTCGATGCCAGGCGTCGTGCGCGCGAAGCATTTAAGCATATTCAGCTCTCAGTCGATCATATTTTGTTTAAGGTATGGCATACATACTCCGTATTATAATGAATGAAGCTTGAATGTTTCCACCTATTCTTCATTTGATTTTGGAGCAGAATGTTTGACTTTATGTTTCTCAGTCAAAGATTGGATTTTTAAAGCTATACCTGATCGATTTTTTGTTTTACACTTTTAGTTGGTATATGTCTAGGTGTCAGTGGATTTGCCACCTAGCTAGTTTCATATAAGGCTTATTGGTTTTGATCCATAATTTTCTGCAGAATTATGAGATGCTTTTTTTGTAAACAAAAACACTTGTCCGGGGTTATCTGGCAAAAACTATGATGATGATAATTGATAATGACTGTTTTCGGTCTCCTTATTATAAGAAGGGGAAGCTGTGTCATTTTTTGCCTGAACTTCTTATGTAAATTGATTCAAAAAATTAATTGGCTTGCTAAATTTGATTTTAATGGCTCTAACATGTGTTGTGGATCCGTTTCTGTCTTGCCGGATTCGGCTCAGGTCGCCGGAGATCGGTTTCCGGTAGTCTCCTTGTGCACACCAAGGCTAAGGGAGCAACAACCTATTCTACCTTCTCAACACTCCTCTCACTCAGCTTCACAAAGAAGGAGTTCTCACAGTCTATCTCAAAAAGCTTCAAGAGGTGGTGGATATATACAGCTAGAGCAAGGAAGGAGCAACTGTCGGTAGAGAACAATAGCACATGAAGTAGGATGCAGGGAAGTCTCTTAATAAAGAAGATTTGGCTTATTAGCTCAAGGGATTGGACGGTACAAGGGACAACACAATCACACACCTCACTTATTTGATCTCACTTATTTGAGTTCAAATTCAAACGGGAGAAATAGACTTGGTACAAAACAAGTTTGGTAACTGGAGTAAGAGTAGTGGGTTGCTGAATAGGTTGTCAACTATTATTAATATACAAAGGCTATTTGGGCCAATAATATATTAACAATCTCCACCTTTGGCCCAAGGTAGTGCACTGAGACAATTCACGGAACCGCGGACTCATCATCGCCGAATTATTACAAGTATTATCGCAAAGATTATACAAGTAATATAAGAGAATACCCCATGTATTCTCGGATCACAAAGGGACAACACACCAAGCTTGCCGAGTCCATAAAGGACTTTACTCTACCATAACGGTCATCGAGTTCGAAGGGACACCAACACCAAACTATTAACAAACACTAGGTAAGTTAATAGTATACCGATGCAACACAGAAAAAATCATCCAAAATCAAAATTTAAAATCTTTTGACACGAAACAAATTTTTCAACAGGTAAACATTTAGTACCCATGTCAGCAGGATTAAATTCTGAAGGAATTTTCTCTAACTTTATAATTCCCTTTTCAACAATATCTCAAATATAATGAAATCTAACATCAATATGCTTCGTCCTATCATGGAAAACAGGATTTTTACACAATTGAATAGCAGATTGACTGTCAGAAAATATAACCACATTTTTGTCAAGAAAATTAATTTCATGCAAAAGACCTCTAAGCCAAATAGCTTCTTTGAAAGCTTATGTGGCAGCTACATACTCAGACTCCGTAGTAGATAGAGCAACAATAGGTTGAAGTTGGGATTTCCAACTTACACAAGAGCCACACAAAGTAAACACATAAGAAGTTGTAGACTTTCTATTATCTCTATCATTAGCATAATTGGAATCAACATAGCCAATTAATTTAACACCTTCAGAGCACTTAGAAAAAGTCAAACCAACATCCACAGAATATTTCAAATACCTTAGAAGCCATTTCAAAGCATTCCAATGAGGCATTCCAGGATTAGACATGTATCTACTCAAACAACTAACCGCATATGCAATGTCGGGCCTAGTACTAACCATGAGATACATGACAGATCCTATAGCATTCGAATAAGGCACATTTTTCATTTCATTCATTTCAGTTTCAGTCTTGGGGGACTGATCCTTACTTAACACAAAATGAGAAGCAAGAGGCACATTCACAGATTTAGCATCAGACATAGAAAATTTACTCAAAACCTTATCAATGTATGATCTTTGATTTAACACTAGAGTAGATTTCTTTCTATCCCTGATAATGCTTATGCCTAAAATTTTCCTAGCATCGCCTAAGTCTTTCATGTCAAAGTTTTCACAAAGAGATTTTTGGACATGCTCAATAGACTTCAAACAAGGACTAACAATTAACATGTCATCCACATAGAGTAATAAAAATATAGGCGCGAAGTCAATATTTTTATAATACAAACAATGATCGGCGGAGCTCTTAGAAAATTTTAAAGATTGCATGCACTTGTCAAATTTAATATTCCATTGCCTAGGTGATTGTTTTAAACCATACAAAGCTTTTTTCAACAAACACACATGGTCAGGCAATTTAGGGTCAACAAAACCCTCAGGTTGGTGCATATAAATGTTCTTATCAAGATCACCATGCAAAAAAGCAGTAGTTACATCCATCTGTTTTAATTCCCAATTAAAATGAGCAACTAAAGCAAGTATAATTCTAATGGTGGTGAACTTGACAACAGGAGCAAAAATTTCAGCATAATCAATTCCCTCCTTTTGAGTAAATCCCTTAGCTACTAATCTAGCTTTAAACCTCACATTTTCAGATTCTTGCTTCACCTTAAATAGCCACTTACAATCCACTAAGGAACAACTAGCGGGTCTAGGAACAAGTTTCCAAGTTTGGTTAATTTTAAGGGATTCCATTTCACTATTCATAGCACTAATCCATTCTTTGGAATATTTAGACTTTAAAGCCTCTTTAAAAGTCCTAGGTTCATTGCATTCAAGGGATTCAAATATGTTAAAGGCAAACTCAGATATATCACAATTAATCAAATTGCAATCCCTATATCTTTCTGGTTTCTTAATAACCCTTCTATCTCTATCCCTAGCAAGTTGATAGTCATGCAAATCATCATTTTCAGAAAAATCATTCTCATCATGAATATCATGCTCCACCTCATTCGAAGTACTCTCACCTTGATTTTCAAGAACATTTTCATGCAAATCATTTTTAGCAGAAAATTCAGATTGAAATTTAACAGGCACTTGCTCCACCTCATTAGGAGCATCATTATGAGGAACATGCACAGGTAAAGTCAAACAAGGAAATTCATTTTCATTAAAAATGACATCTCTACTTATAACTACTTTAAACCCTGGTTCACTCCTATCCCAAAGCCTATAACCCTTTACCCCTTCTGGGTACCCTAAGAAAACACACTTCTTAGATCTAGGTTCCAGTTTATCAATCTTTTGATGCACATAACCCGCACATCCAAACACTCTTAAGTTCGTCACATCAAGCTTCTTGCCCGTGAAAACAAATTCTGGGCACTTCCCTCCTAAGGGGACAGACGGGGACCTATTAATTAAATAAGCAGCGGTATTAAGCGTTTCCCCCCAAAATTTCTTAGAGAGCCCAGATGTGGCCAACATGGCCCGCACCCTCTCTAAGAGAGATCTATTCATCCTTTCAGCAACCCCATTCTGTTGGGGTGTGTAAGGAACAGATTTATGTCTTTTTATACCCCAAGTAGCACACAAATCATTCATTTGTTTATTACAAAACTCAAGTCCATTGTCTGTCCTAAGGGCTTTAATTTTCTTTCCTGTTTGGTTTTCTATCATGATTTTCCAGTTTTTAAATTTTTCAAAAACTTCAGATTTTTGTTTCATGAGCAAAACCCAAACTTTCCTAGAATAATCATCAATAATGGAAAGAAAATATTGATTCCCTCCTTGCGTAGGAACACTAGAGGGACCCCACACATCAGCATGCAAATACTCAAGTATGTCAACACACTTAGATTGATTAGGAAAAGTAGAAATAGGGAAGCTAACCCTATGTTGTTTTCCTAACACGCATGATTCACAAAATTCAATAGGGGATAATTTATCACTACCAAAGTGACCATTTTTATGCAAAATATCTAATCCCTTATTACTCATGTGACCTAATCTATTATGCCATAAAATAGATTTATCACCTATCACAGAGTACACATAATCAGGTACAGGTTCAGCTTGACACACATACAAGTTATTTTTCTTTTCAGCAGTAAAAATAACAAGAGATCCTTTCATGATTTTCATAACCCCTTTCCCCCATTTTCCCTCAAAACCTTCATTTTCAAGGGATGCACATGAAAGCAAATTATAACGTAAATCAGGAACATGCCTAACATCTTTCAAAGTGAACACAGAGCCAGAAGAAAATCTAAGGCATACATCACCAGTTCCTAACACGTTGCATTTCTTTTCATTAGCCATAGACACATAGCCATTTTCAATTTTCTTATAATTTGAAAAAAGATTTTCAAAGGGAGTCATATGAAAAGTACAACCGGAGTCAACTAACCAATCAGATTCACATAGGGAATTAGATAGCACAGAATTAACACATGCATGATCACAAAGATTATTAACCATAAAAATATCACCCATTTTTTCTTCACCAAAAGCCACATTAGCATGTTCATTATGCTGATTTTTCTTAGGCTTAGGACAATCCTTAATGAAGTGACCAAATTCATGGCAATTATAGCATTTTCTAGCTTTAGATCTAGACTTAGATCTACCCTTCCTATTCGCAGAATTCTTCCTAAAACTTGATTCTCCATTACTAGCATATTTTTGGTTATGAGACCTATTCTGAGGTCTACCCCTAACATGCATCACCTCACCCGAATTCTTACTTCCCCTAGATTGCTTTAAATCTAACTCTTTGCTTTTGAGACCATTAACAACAATATCTAGCGTTATATTATCTCTACCATATTTAATGGCAGATTTAACATCACTATAAGAATCAGGTATGGCATTCAATAAAGCAATGGGAGTATAATCATCTATGTGTTTGTCACCGGACAACTTAATATCGGAAATAAGTTTTGTGAAAACATCAAGATTTTCTTCAATATCTTTAGACATGTCAAGTCTAAATTTGAAAAATTTTTCAAGTAAGAACATTCTACTCGGTAGAGAGGTTTCAGTATAAAGCTCTTCAAGTTTATCCCACAAAGATTTGGCAGATTCTAAAATTCCTACTTTTCTGAGCACACAATCGGATAAGTTCAAGTAAATTATAGAACATGCACTTTCATTCATTTCTGCTTTTTTCTCTTCCGTATCGGAAGTCAAATAGGTTTGACTAATGGCCCTATATGATTTTTGTTGAATTAATATGCACTTTATTTTTTGTTTCCATATGCTAAAATCAGTTTTTCCATTAAATGGAGCCATTCCGTACTGATTAAATGCAGACATTTTCACACAGAAAAATTAACACAAAAAAAATGCAATTATAGCTAGAAAAACAGTTCTATATTTATAGGGCTAAACAATAGCACAAATAAATATAATTCTAGCAAGTATTAAAACAACAATAAATTTTAACAGTTTAAATTAAATGAAAAACAATAAATGAAATTTCATTTAAAGAAAACTTACACTAGCCAAACACTAGGAGAGTGTTTGGACCTTACCCACCCACAAAGGATTTTGGAATAGTTGACTAAATAATTGACTGGCAGAGGGTAGTTCACGCTTTAGCTCCAAATGAGGTCCACCTCCACGCTCCAAGCCTAGCAAGTAGCAACCAGCTATAGCTCCTGCCTCCAAAGTACAGCTCCGCTCCAGATTCCAAAGTCCAGCTCAAGTTAGAACTTTGTCCTTTCCCTCTTCGCTCCAGTAGCTCCAGGAACGAGCTCCAGCCTCTAGACCTTCTGCGAACCACAGAAATTGCAGGTGGTGGCTTGTGGCGGACTCCGGGGCGACCTCAGCAGCTCAGCGACGAACACCACTAGACAACCGGACAAGCGACGAACACCACCGGACAAGTGATGACCTCCACAGACGAGCGACGGCTCTCTGGCAGCGTGCGATAACCTACGGATCTCAGGCGGCGGCGACCGGCGTCTTCAGTGAGCGGCGTCGAAGGCCTTCAATAAACGAGCTCCAGCATCTGTGGCGTTGATTCCCAGGCAGTCGGCAGTAGGCAGCTCCAACGGCGACCTCCACCCTCGAGCTCCGGAATTGGCAAACGACGGACGGGTTTGGGGCGGCAAGGTTCTAGTAGTAATAGAAAACTACGTTCCAGATCCGGCGATCTTTCGGTAGTTTTTACCGGCGACGGAGGACGGCGGACGGCGGACGGCGGCGGACGGCGGACGGCGGACGACGGCAGACGGCGGCGGACGGCGGACGTACGTAGGAATTCAGCAAAATCGACGGCGAAGACAGCCCTTGGCTCTGATACCACTGTTGTGGATCCGTTTCTGTCTTGCCGGATTCGGCTCAGGTCGCCGGAGATCGGTTTCCGGTAGTCTCCTTGTGCACACCAAGGCTAAGGGAGCAACAACCTATTCTACCTTCTCAACACTCCTCTCACTCAGCTTCACAAAGAAGGAGTTCTCACAGTCTATCTCAAAAAGCTTCAAGAGGTGGTGGATATATACAGCTAGAGCAAGGAAGGAGCAACTGTCGGTAGAGAACAATAGCACATGAAGTAGGATGCAGGGAAGTCTCTTAATAAAGAAGATTTGGCTTATTAGCTCAAGGGATTGGACGGTACAAGGGACAACACAATCACACACCTCACTTATTTGATCTCACTTATTTGAGTTCAAATTCAAACGGGAGAAATAGACTTGGTACAAAACAAGTTTGGTAACTGGAGTAAGAGTAGTGGGTTGCTGAATAGGTTGTCAACTATTATTAATATACAAAGGCTATTTGGGCCAATAATATATTAACAACATGGTTATGTTAAGGAGCCTGTTTTGTAAGCGCAAACTCGACTGGTGTGGTTGAACTTGCTGAAATTGTTATTGGTGTGACCTCATTGCCTGAGCCTTTTGAAATATTGGAAAACAGAAAATCTCTTGACAACTTAACGAAAATGCTATCTATGAATGAGGGTAGAAACGTCATTTTTAACTCAAGTAAAATGTGCCTTATGTGCCACTATTTTTTTATTATCAAATTCAGTTAGTCACTGCTAGATTAGTATTCGGGCATTTGGCAAAGTATAAGGTGATTAACTAGAAAACGGTGCTAATAAACAGGCACTTAATTATTGTCGACGACTGCATTTATAGCCCTTTCATAAGGATGCATTTTTGTTAAAAAAGTTGCTGATGTTAAAATTGCTGGATTATCTGAATTATCTAACTGGATTTTTAAGTTATATTGTTGGAACTTTTGTACTACAAAGAAAATACTCCGTAACTTATAAAAACACGAAAAAAGATTTTGTTTTTTCCTTGCTAATATTTATATAAAAAAACTCATTCCCTTTCTATTATCAACCAATTTCAGTCAGTAAAGTCAAGTAAGTTAGTGTTTAGTAGAAAATCTTATTGATAATACTGATAAGTACAAAAAATGTTCTGCCTTATAGACACTTAAGATAGTTGTGGTGCTTCCACTGATTCATTATTGGTTACTTGGGGCTGCAAGCTTAGCCTATTTTCTTTGGCCATTTTAAGCTATTGATCCCCACTAGTTCATCTAATCATATAATTTTAAGCTATTGATCCCCACTAGTTCATCTAATCATTTATTAATTCAAATATTCATGATACTATAGGATGTTTTACTTAGACTGTTTTCACTCCCAGGTCAGACCAGATCAGACTTAAACAAACCAGACCAGACTTAAACAGATCAAGCCAGCAAATTTCAGTCCAATTGAAAACATCCTTAGCATAACAATGTACTTAGAAAGATAAAGAATGTATATTTTGCTTCAAGTTCGCTTCCAAATGACGTGACATGCCACTTTAGCATGCTCAATTGGTTTTACTTTTTGTTACTGCAGACACCTTCTGATGGATTAAAGATGGAGGAGGTAAGCACCCTTCCCGCTTTGAAAGGACTGATAAATTGTTTTGGACTTCATCAGTTTTACAGTTTCCTTATTTTCACAGAGCTATAACTAGAGTCCCCATTCTAAGTGTTCTTTTGAATAATAATTTTTATTGTTTCAAATGCACAATACAAAGCTGATTATTATATGTTATCGTATGGAAGTCTTATGAGGTCAACTCTAGAGGATTAGAGGTTTTCTGCAAAAGTTGGCTCCCAGAGACGATTTCCCCCAAAGCAGTGATATGCTTTTGTCACGGTTATGGAGATACTTGCACATTTTTCTTTGAAGGCATGTATGAATAAAAATTACATATTTAATAACCATTTCTTTACCTAATCATAGTATTTTTCTTTTCCCCAGTCTGTATGGATTCATGTCATATGTACTCTTTTCTACTCTGTATAAAAATGTTCAATTAATAAAACAACTTCTACGGAATATGTACATTCCGGAAGAAGTAGAAGTGTTACTATCATTCGGTTTTCATGGAATTTGAAAGATGATTGTTTTCATACAATGTAGGGGTTGCCTGGAAGTTGGCGAGTGTGGGATATGGTGTGTTTGCCATGGACTATCCTGGTTTTGGTCTTTCTGAAGGTCTACATGGCTACATACCAAGTTTTGACAACCTGGTTGATGATGTCATTGAGCATTACTCTAAAGTTAAAGGTATAACCAATGTTCTAAACCTATTTCATTGATTCAGAACTTTTGGTCGTTTTGTAGTGGGAATGCAAACATATCATATGGATTAATACAGTTATATAACAGAGAACCCCAAACTACGTAATCTGCCCAGCTTCCTTTATGGAGAATCAATGGGTGGTGCAGTAGCTCTGAAGATGCACTTGAAGCAACCCGATTCATGGAACGGTGCTATTCTTTCTGCACCTATGTGCAAAGTACGCATTCATGGCCTCGGTTGATGTTTTATGATTATGATAATAATAATAATAATAATAATAATAATAATAATAATAATTATTATTATTATTATTATTATTAATTAATTAATGTGCTAATGACTAGTTACATCCAACAGATCGACAAGAACTTGGTTCCACCATGGTTGTTAACGCAAGTTTTGATCGGTGTAGCGAAATTTCTACCAAAGCATAAGCTCGTCCCTCTAAATAATTTGGGTGATTTGGCATTTAGGGAAGCAACTAAAAGGCAAAAGGTATGTATGCCTGCATTTCCTCCAAGAAGCAATCAGTCTCTGATATAATAGGGCAATATAATGTTTACAGTATAGACGATGACCAATTGTATGAGGACTCTTGCATAAGTAATACTCAGAAGTAAACCTCTGTTTGGCATCCAGTTCTGGTTATTCTGTGTATCAGTAAAAGAATCAGAATAAGTACGTTTTCACTTGTATGGATGTTATCAAACATTTTCCTAGTAGAAAATCCAGCATATCAAACAAATGTATGCAAATTACTCTTACCAAGTTAGCCCAAAATTAGAAAAAGCAGGTCTGGAACTAATGTCTAAACCTGTATATGGCGTGCAGGATAGGCTTTCAAGTTCCATTAGATGCTACTTCTTATTGAAGAACATGAAAATCACATTGTTTTATATTTACAGTGAAATAGTGAACCGTTAACTAGATGCTTACATTTACCTGTTTAAAATTGCAGGCAGCATATAATATCATTGCTTATAGGCATAAACCACGTTTGGGGACGGCCCTGGAATTACTGAAAACAACCAAAGAGATAGAGGAATCACTAGAAAAGGTGTGTGTTAATAGCTTTTCCCACTTTCTTCAGTCCTCTAACTATTGTGGCAACTGGCACTCAAACTTTTGATATCCGTCCTCTAATTTTTCTACCTTTATGACACTACTGATCCTGAAGGTATTGTAATTAATTTCACTTTTAGTCTGTGGTAAATTAAAAAAGATGTGTACCAAGCTTCACTGTCACAAAAGTTTGAGGACTAAGATTAGACAAACTCAAAAATAGACACCAAAACCATGTCGTGTCATTATAGTTAGTCATTTGAGGACTAAAAGTGTAAACTCAAAGATCAATATCACAAGTGTCATTGGCACAATAGGCAGAGGACTAATAATGAAAACAACTTCTATTTAATTGGATACTCGATTGAGTCATTCCACATGTGCCAAATCAGACTAAAAGATGGAATCAAATTCATTAACTACATATAGTTAGAGAAACTATATATCCATCTATGTGCAATCCTTTAACAATTCATTCCTATATTTCCCTTTGCTTACAATGCCCAAGCCTGGTTATGTAGGATAAGGGGCAGCAGCCTATATTAACCAGGACTTGATGTGTTTTTTGTCTGTACAGATTGTGTGGCTTTTGGTGTAGAGCGAGCAATTTATTATTCAACTCTTTTCTGTTTCATGATGATTATTCGATATGCTGCTGATTATATTAAGTTGAGCTTCATTTTAGCTTTTCTGGTGGTGCCTGTATAATCAACATGCATCATTATTTTACAGGAATCTGAGCTTTGCTGCTTATAACCTAATTTGCATGTCCTTAATCTTTCAGAATGAACAAACTTTTTTCACGCCTTGAGTGTCTCAACTTAGTGACAGAAATGTCACTTCTCGATAAAGATAATGAGATTGATGTGCTTTGCAGGTGTCGTTACCGCTGTTAATCTTGCATGGAAAGAAAGATGTATTGACTGATCCATCAGTAAGTGAAGCATTGTATGAGAAGGCAAGCAGTGGTGACAAGACGTTCAACCTATACGAGGAATCATACCATTGCCTGCTTGAGGGTGAGCCAGATGATATGATCCACAAAGTCTTCAATGACATGATTTCTTGGCTTGATGATCGTAGCACTACTACAGGTTAACCATGCACCTTTCTTGCTCACTTTTCCAGTAGTGGAAAGAAAATCGGGGAAAGAGGCGAAAGCAATTTTTGTGTTGTACAATATGTATTTTTTTATTGGAAGTTCAAATAATACTCATAGTTGGAAGTGAACTTGGTAGCGCACTCGAGATAATGTCATTCTTATATTAAAAAAAAAAAAATTGCTGTGTTAGGTTAATTTATGCAACATGTATTTGTTTGTCTACTTTGACATTCTTGATGGATGATGGTCATTCTGTTCGTAAGGCTTGTTATTATTATGGAAAATGTGAAGTTTGTGAGAGCATCTCCAAAGCCACTCTCTGTTTTGGTCCTTTTGGAGAGCAGTGTGTAAAATAAAGAACTTTTAGGTAAAGGGAAAATCACACTTTTAGTCCCTGAAATAGTCACATAAATAAAATGTCGGACTCATATTTCTGATATTGTAAATGTCATCCCTCAATTGTCCAAATTGTTGTAAATGTGGTCCTATAAGGGGTGAAATGTAGTCCTTTATGGGCTGAAATGTACTCCCGCCCACATTGTATATTTCACCCCTCAAAGGACCACATTTACACTAAAACATTTTGGGACGACATTTACAAACTTGGGAATACGGGCCCGACATTTCATTTTCGTGATTATTTTCAGGGACTAAAAGTGCAAAGTGGATAACAATTACTACTATTCAAACGTCATTCTTCAAATAGCTCTTTACCCCCATAAACACACACGTATATACAACACATGCACAGACATATATAGACACATATTGACATATATGTGTATATACGCACAAGGCACACATATTACTGTTATAGTAAATTGTTTTTTACTAAAAAAATCAAGCACACGATTATGGGTTCTTTAATACTAGTATTTTACCCGTGCGTTGCACGGGATACCAAAACAACAAAGTATCGATGGCGTGTAGGGCTGGACTCGGGCCGGTTCGGGCCCGGTTCGGGCCTGGGCCCGGCCGGGCCTCGGACCAGGAAAGGGGAGGCCCGAGCCCGAACCGCCGGTTCCGGTTCCGGTTCCTGGCCAAACCGGGCCGGGCCGAACCGGCCCAATTAATTTTTTTTTTTTTTGTTCTCCTATTTAATCCCCTACCCCTCCCCCTCAACCCCAAACCATCCCAAACCACCTCAAATGGCCCAAAATACCTAATCCAACCTAAAACTTAAAAAAATTTCAAAAAAAAAAAATTAAAATCCGGCCCGGATCGGGCCCGAACCGGCCGGGCCGGTTCACCAAAACCTGGGCCCGAGCCCGGACCGCCCAGCACCCGGGGCGGGCCAAACCGAACCGGTGGACCCACCGGGCCACGGGCCGGGCCGGGCCAAACAGTGACCGGGCCGGTTCGGTCCCGGGTCGGGCCGCCCGGCCCGAGTCCAGCCCTAATGGCGTGGTTCAATATTCCAGTTGTTTTCCAGAGCTATATCACTCCCAATGGTCCAATACTCCAACTGTTCTCATTGTTTGAGGCAACATGGATTCAGGAGCTATATCACTCCCAATGGTCCAATACTCCAACTGTTCTCATTGTTTGAGGCAACATGGATTCAGGAGCTATATCACTCCCAATGGTCCAATACTCCAACAGTCCAACTATTCTCATTGTTTGAGGCAGCATGGAATTTCAAAATATACCAAATAACAGAGGTTCTATGTCTCTATGTTTGCCTCATTTACATTTTCCATTCATTCTACTTAGTTTGTCTCAACTCTCAATCCATATTTAGTAATATTTGGGTGGTTGCAATTCAATCTTTATTCACATTGCATTAACTCAATATCATTTACGGGAACAATTTCATTTTTCTTAATAACTGCACCATTCACGCTTGTCTCAATCTTATGGGGACAAAGGTAATAATGATTACGTAAATTATCTTATTCTCCATAAACTTTTCATATTCTTGTTGAAATGATAATAAAAGTTATGATTCGCCTCGCAGATTCTAGATTATTACAAAAGAAAATACTATGAAAGTAATAGTAGGAGCTAGGAGACGCAAAAGTATTCCATGTCACTAGCAGGTCTTCCAATACCTAATAAATAAAATGCTAGAGAATTATGGATATAAAGACGAAATTTAAATTGCTTCAAACAAAGTCAAATAGGTTTCAAAACATACCTGAAAACCATTGGCAAACATTTGAAAATCAATTTCTCCATTGAAATGCACAAATTTTTTTGTAGCCTTGTAGGCAGGGGTGGACCGGGCCCAGGTCGGGACTGGGTTCGGGCCAGGTCGGGTGTTGTATTTTTTTTCGATTTTCCTTGTTTGTTCCTACACTCCCAAACCACCCAGCCCAACCCACCTACCCCTCAATCCATTCGAAAAACAAAAACAAACATTTTTGGTCCGGACCGGCCGGGCCGGTTCCAAGCGGGCTTAAGCCCGTGACCCGCCTCCAAACCCCGGTACCGCACAGTGGCAGTTCGGGCCGGGCACCGGGCCAGTCCGATACCACACAGTGGCGGTCCGGGTCGGGCACCGGGCCGGTCCGACCAGTCCCGGTCCACCCCTACTTGTAGGTGGCTATACTCCATCTAAAATTTTGACAACATAAGATCACATTCATCTATGATTTTCTAAAAGTTTACAATGAAAACCTCATATATGATTTTAGTGTTCTTCATCTCTTAACTTATGGGTGTTGCTATATCATTATATATGATTTTAGTGTATGCATATAGAACCACGTCTGTAGTCTGTACGAAGCTTCACCACCACCTGTAACATCTTGTTCGTCTTTGGAGTTTCTTTTTTACATCATTTACAAATGTTATGAATAAACCAAGAATCAGAGTGTATCTCTTGAATTCTGTGTATTCTTATTTCTGGCTTGCATCTTACGGACCTATAACTGAAGCCAAAGAGAAGATATACTTTGCTAGACCACCAAACAATAGATAACTAAAATAATCTACATACAACATGTAAATTAAAAAAAAAATGTAAATATAAATAACATTTTTGCATAATTTTCCTACTGTGTGTTATCTGCAGACAATGACAATTTTATCTATTGAAAACCTTATTCCATAAAGCTACAACGATTTCTTACCAACTATATCTCAAATGAAAAATAGCTTCTATGAAAAAAGGGTTCCAAATGATCTAACTCAGCAATCAACAATTCTTGGACACCTACATTTGAGTTGTAAACAGATACTTGTATAATTACAGTGGGTTGCAGAGGATTTGAGAGAGCTTTAATCGTCTAATGCGTGGAGGAAACATCAAAATTTTATAGGGATTAAAAATAGAAATGGAACAACGGCCTTAGCACATAAAATCCAGTTTTTTTGGCATAATGAAAGAGGATCGAGTTCTCTAAATGTTAGATACCTCAACCAACGCAACAGAATTAGTAGTTTATTGATGAGAATTATCATCAAGAAATACAAGAAAGAGAAGAACCGATAAGATAGAGACAGTTCGAGTCGTCTCACGCTCCCAAGCCTAATTCCAGATCCAATTTCTGCCTACCCATATCCTCACCACTCTCATTTATTCTATTTCTAATGGGCAGCCCACTATTACATTTCTATTACATTTTATTAAAATACTCAGTATTATTTCTATTATATCTCACTCCATAAGCCCATAAGTCCAGGTCTCTATCATCACCCTAGTTAGCTTTTTTCCGTTTAAAACGCGTTTTAAACACGTACCGTTTTTTTGAACAAAAAAACACGTTTAAAACGAAAAAATAATGTCGGTCCGTTTAAAAAGGAAAAAAACTCTTACTTTCCGTATAAAACGTATTTTTTCCGTATTTTTACAAAAAATAGAAACATGAACTGATCAATTCAATGAGTGCATAAAATGCACAGGAGATCAACAATAGCTTAAAAGCAAAAAGGAAAACATCGTCCTCGTGACCGCGTGTTTTTGTATGGTTACAATGCAATTATTAGATACTAAAATTGATTGCATGACGGCTAAAGCTAACATCCTAAAATTAAATACCAAAACGTTATATACTACTGGATTTATGATGTTTTTCCAATCAAGCATATCAAAACTATGTTTTTTCTAAACCTGACATATGTTTAGTATACTTTTACAGTTTTACACATAAACAATAATAAGCGTAGGAGTCGTACAATGTATTTTTCTCATATGTCATCCATCATCTTGATAAAATGATGAGTTTAACTTCAGTATTATTTGATGATCATGTAAAGATAATGATTTTAACTTGGGAGAACTGTCAAATAGGTCCTCGAACTTTCATAAAAAGGTCAATTAAGTCCTTCTATAGGAGGTTTTGTCCGGTCGTCGCGATTTGAGGCAGTTCCCGGTGGAATTTTTTGATGAACTTTTTTGAGCATCTTATTCACCAAGTCTAGTTTACTCATACCAAATTTCAGCTAAAAATTCAATCGAGAACACATTCAAATTAATTCTTGAAGATAACTACGCATTTTTGCGTTCTCGAATTAATTTGAATGCGCTCTCGATTAAATTTTTAGCTGAAATTTGGTATGAGTAAACTAGACTTGATGAATAAGATGCTCAAAAAATTTCATCAAAAAATTCCACTGGGAACCGCCCCAAATCGCGACGACCGGACAGAGTCTCCTATAGAAGGACTTAATTGACTTTTTATGAAAGTTCGAGAACCTATTTGACAGTTTTCCCTTTTAACTTCGCCTCATCTATGGTTATTATGTCTCATTTTGTAGACTTTATTTTGCAAAATTATGCCTTGGACTTAATTACTATTTTTATTCTTGTCATCGACTTATGCAATTACGAATTATTCTTTGATGTGGTAATGAGATTTGCTACTTGAATATGTGTATATTTTTATTTCTTTTTACTATATATCTTATTTTGTGAAGTATATACTTTAAATGATCAAAATAATACACCGTATTTTTTATCCGAATTTTTGTAACATATACCGTATTATACACGTATACGTATTCACACGTTTTTTAAAAGTCAACGTATTTTTCAACGAATTTTTGACCGTTTTTTTCAATCGTGTACGAATAAAACACGTACGTATTAAACCTCGTTTAATTC